AAGAGCTATGGATTTTTTGTCCCATTAATGGGGAAAAAATGCCATGAAATAATATTGTGYCAATTTAATATAAAGGGAAGCTTAAAAATGGCATTTTCTGAACATTTTTTTGTGGAAATTCAGATACTCAAGTAAGGTGAGGTGGAACAGAGGTTGGGAAAAAAAAAAATCTTCCTATGGCTAAGAGTATTGGGTTGCGGGTGTTACATTGAGGGAACTCCATTCAAGCTCACACTGTGCTGCTGATGTCAAAATTGAGAATGTACCTGGTAACTGATCCAGGACACATATACAGAGACATCTTGGGTTCACAACTGCATGCTGTTCTGGGCCCATGATTTCTTAATTCTGAAAAAAGACCAAGTACAAACTAGCATTCTGTGCACCTGCCACCCTAAGCAGCACTGTTAAATACATTCTCAAATCCATGTTTACTTTGATGTTATATTGGTTTATTTTACATAAAGCTTTTAACCCAGATAATAGTTTAAGAAATTGAGSTTTTATGACTAGAAAGAGACAAAGCATAATCTGCAGTGACCAGTAGGTGTAAGTCAATCTAAATTATTGCAATTATTCTAGTAAGATAGTTACAATACTGAATAATTCATACAAATAATTTTAAGTATCAATTAAATAGCATAGAATAATAGAACAAGATATAGAAAACAAAGTAGTGTTTCCTTCTTCCTCTGGAAATAAACTTGGTATCTTTTAAAAATTCTCCTGAAGCCCTATTTATTGTTACCAGTTCAGGCATCGTCACCTGATATACAAGCAGGAAAGTGTTAAACATCACCAGATGTTGTTGAACAGAACAGAGTCTCAGTGTTCTGTGGAATTTGATTAGTAAAAATTATAAGAAAAATCTTTCAGAAGTTTCTTAACACTGAGCTATGATCAGCAAGTGCAACTGATCCTGAAGACTTTACTCCAGCACTGGTGGACTTTACTCCACTATGGAGTGCCTTGAAAGTGATAATTCCACTTAGAAATWATGGAATGACTTAAAAGTCATCTTACTCCTTCTGTTCCGCAGTGAAGTCTCAAATTGTTTGAATGAGCTTTCTGTCCCTGAAAAAGCATCATGTGCAATTATAAACTATCCTATTGTGTGCTCTTGGCCTTCCCATGAAATTATGTATAAAGATAGCTGAYACACTATATTACAATATCAGTAAAATCAGAGTATAAGGCTAAAGCATTTCTTTAATTGATTTACTTCAAGTAGCCTTGATTTCCCTTACACTTCCAACCGAACAAGGACATGCATGTAAATAGCAGTGACAAACTTTTAAGTTTATCCATGTAAATAGCAGTGACAAACTTTTAAGTTGGTTCCATTTTGACACTGCACATCTTAAATAATTTGATGGTAAATGGTAAATATAGGATTTAGATAAATATATGGTCTGTCTATAGGATTTAAAATAAATAAATGTATGTTCTATAGGAACATCCTGTATCCTAGCCTATAGGATTTCATTAATGATTTTTTTTTGCTTAGAGAATACTTCTGTATATTTAACTACTATGCAAGGCTCTTGGGCAGTACAGAATTTTTCACATGGAAATACAGCATTGCCTCCCATTGTTAAAGGAAAGGGTCATAAAATTTATATATCATTTAAAAGTCATAGCTACTGAGRATATGGATTAATAAACTCTTCAGTAAAATAAAATAATGAAATAACTGTAGTGATGAACAAGACCAGTGTATTTTGAGYCTGGTGAGTATAGCTATGCTTTCTTCAGATGGATAGCATATTATTATACTATTACATTAAAAATTAGTTATGGTGTGCTTTATTTCCAAATGCCAATTTATTTATATAGGATTCTTAAGTCTTAAAATAATATTGAAGATTAATTTTGTATTTCAAAGCTGCTGTAGAGGCATAGGTAAGCAGATTTACAAACACTGGTCTATAAAATGCCTATTTAGAAATTCTCAAAGCGCCTGACTCTTTTTTCTCTTCAGTACTTCTTTTCTTCTGCACTCTCTTCCATAATTTCAGTTAAATGCTAATAAAGGTGTCATTTTCTTCAGGGTGCTATTGTGGAATAATAAGTGCAGCTGAAATTAAAGCAATTCTCAGGAAGCACATATGTAAAAACAAGCTAGAAGTTACACAGTCACACTGCACAGCATACCTCAAATTTTGATATGTTGCTCTTTTTATGGAAGATTCCATTTCTCTGCCTCACAATTTCCATTGAAGATGCTGGTGGAAAAACATGGTAGACAGAACCTGAATTTTGGGACTATGAGAAAGGAAATAAGATCCTCCCACTTACAAGCATGCTTTCTTTCCCCTGGGAGTATAATAATCCTTAACATGTTATATGCAYATAGTGGAACCCATCAAGCACTCTCCTCAAAACAGAATCTTGTTTGAGGCTAAAAGGGGCAAGCCAAATTGTTTTATGCAGTAAGGTTAACTGCTCCTTTCCTCTGTTGTTATCTATGTTTTTCCTGTATCCATCCATGCATAATCCCACAAAGGAGAGGAAAAARGAGGCCTATGTCTCCCATAAAACTGAAAGCTGGTAGGAGGTGAAAAACAAATGAGCACTTGAATGTGGTTTGGCAGAGGTGCTCTTGCAGAAGTAACACTATGTGAGTAGGAACATTTCAGTCACCCTTGCATGAAAATCAGACAKGGTGCTTGATTAGATTAAAAAGGTACCAATTCAGATTACAAGCAATACGTTGCCTGAGTAAGCCAAGTGCTAAAATGCCAGCATGTATTATCACTGAACTACATGTTCTCATGCCCAGGGCTTTTAAAACACCATAAGAGGAAATCAATCAGCTCAAAGACATATCCATGGAAAGAGAACTGGAGCACAAAAATGCTCCAAGACAAAAAGCCTCAACTAGGCTCAAACATTGTAAATTCATTATATACACAGTGTGAGACATCTCAGGCAGGGATTATAGGAATGAATCCTGTAGTGTCATTTGTGCATTATTTATCATTTTGGACTATATTGCTACAGCAAACTCAGTTTTCATTAAAAAAAAAAAAATTCCTTTATCTGTAATCAATATGTGCAGTGGATACAATGTTGCCTAGAGTATCATGTCCTGTGACTTGAATTGGATGGATTTCTTTCCAGAATTACACTCACAGTACTGGCCTGTACCTGACATAAATATGAACATCTGAAAATCCCATCTGCTCTAAAATGGCATTTGTACCATCAACAGTATTTCTGTGCTTGACTCCTACAGTTAGCAGTTGCTACAAGTTATTTTCAGGTCTCTTTTCTCCAACTCTGTTATGCAAGTTTTATTGGAATTTTTTCCATCAGCAATCACTGAAATTCTTTGGAAGCACCAGAGGACAGGGAACAAGAATAAGTCATAATTCCATTGTGGAATACCATAAAACCACCAGCAGCAATACCAATAGCCTCCTTAGCGAAAAATGGTAGTAAGTCCAGACAGTTAAAAGTTATGCTGAGTGATCACTACATACATTAGAAAAGGATCTGCAGTTATTCATATCTGATCTTTCAGACAGAAATGAGATAGTACTAATGAGAATTTTGATTAATTTTTCTTGGCTTCATATAAAATTATTTTGTTTATTTGCACTAGCATTTTTCAACTTTTTTTTTAAAATTGATTAAAAAAWTAATTTTAGCTTTAGCTTTATATTGTTTTTAGCTTGTTAGCTTGTATTGTATTGATTTTAGAATTCTGCTTACTTTAATTTACTCACTTGTCCAACAATTTAAGCTCGCATATTAAATTGTTCTGCATTTGCTAAGCAATTTACTGCCTTGGCATATCCAGGGACTAATACAGTAGTAGACTTCACTTGCCAGACCATAAATCCACAGAGAGAGACAGAACAGCTCCTTAAGAAATTGGCATTGTGCTCACTGGCATCACTGGTTATAGTGATGGTTCAAAATTGGTGGACCCTAACATTGGTCCACAATACAGTAGGAAATGTAAAGGTTGTCAGAGAATAATATTGAAATATCATTCCTCAAGGTTCATGGGCTAGTGTTAGAAGTCATAACTAAAATATTGATTTAAATAAAGATTATCTTTCTCTTAGATAAGGTTAAGAAATGCCTTCAGAGATTTTTTTGTTCATAATCAAGATTAGACAGTTGTCAAACTATTTAAAGGTTAGTTAAGTGCTTGTATCAAAAAAATACAATGTAAAGGTGACTTTAAAAATCTGCTTAATAAATGAAACCTTGCACCTTTGGAATGTTTTTTAAAAAGGCTTTAGAGTAAAGTTATTACAGATCCCCTTGTTTTGCTTGTGTGTTGTGCTCCATTTTGAATATAGTAACYGAGATGCATTCAATTTACTGAAATATATTCTTCAGCTGTCAGTTTATCCTTAGTTTGAGTTGTAATAATGAGATGTTCAGCAAAGAACAGTTTCTTTTCAATTAATCTCTAACTCTGCAGGGATTCAAAGAACTGCCCAGCTATTTCTGTTACATGAAGGTAGTATAGAAAACTCTAATCCACTAACATTATTAGGTAATTTTATTTTTTTTGTATGAAATATAATGATTGCTGCAACGTTGGCTAGAATATTAGTTGTGTCTGAAATTTTTTTGACAGATATGATTTTTCAGGTGGGGAAAGAGTACCATGCAAAATTGACAGCACTTTTATTCATGATGTACAAAGACTGCTGGTTTTTTTCTGCAAAATAAAAATAAGCTGTTGTGAAATGCTGAGTGCTCTCAGATTGTTCTGTCTTCTCTGACATCCACAGAGTTCAGCATTTTGCAGTAGCAAGTAGTTCTAGTTCAAGAGTACTGCAACACCTGCAGAATGCATAAGGGTTAGCTGTTGTACAAGAAAAGAGACCCGGTGCTTTTGGTTGGGTTGGAGGTCATAAGAGAATCACTGCCAAATTGTGCTGCAGCTTGTWTAGGTGAAGAAAGATGCTACCTGTTTATAATTCTGTAAAAAAAACCAAGCACAACTCTTTAACTTGCCTTTTCTTTATTTCCAGTAACAAATATGTGAAGAGAAAAACTAAGAGAAGTGACCATGGTTAATGAAGAGCACTTTCTCCACTCCTCATTTAAGAAGGAGGAATTTGCTGAGCCTAATAGACAAAGACTAATAATCAACAGAACTTATTCTAAGAAGTGTCAGGATCTTTGAACCATAGAAAGGATTGATGGACTTGACAAAAATGACATGAAACATTCCACACTCTGCTGTCATCTGCTGTTGCTTGCTCAACTGTGAAGAACTGTGTATTCAGGCTGCTTTCTACAATATTGCCAATCACCTTTTTTGGACTTCAAAGTGATATTTTCTTATCAGTTCTCTAGTGGTTTCATTTGCATGCACTCTGTAACTATGCACAAGCAAAACCTATTATCTGCTTCACCTATTTAAAAATAAGCACAGTGGTGAATAAAATCAATTTCTTTTTTTTTTTTTTTGACCCCTCAGTTCTAATAGCTTAGGTCCACATCAGTGGAAATTGGAACTGATGTTGTATGAGGGTTAGGGCAAATCTCTGCACATACCATATGAAAATGAGCCTCTAAAGATACTTTCACTGTTGGTAAAAAGGAGATAAAAATGTTATTTATAACAAGGCCTTACATTGTGTACATATATTGTCCTTGAAATATTTTTGATTTTGCTTTATTTCTTGTAAAAGAAAATTCTATAATTTATTTAGAAAATACTACTGTAAACTATAGTTTTATTGATGAATAAAAGATTTTATTCTAAAGACTATACACCTGTCATCCTGTTATTGATCTATACTGGACTTAATTGCTCTTGCATTTCTCTTACTTTTTTGAGATGATCTTAAGAGGCCTCTTGAGAGACAACAAACATGGCATCTGTCTTTATCAGTTCTATAATGAAAAGGGGAAYCTTGAAATTAGAATAGAAAAAGCAAAGGAAGATACTCAACAGGCACTGCTTTATAAAACCATTTCAGGTTTTCCAGTATGGGCAATTAGAGTAACTACAGAAACTGTTTTGATTCCTTGATTTCTCAGGTAACAGAGAGATAATGCCAAAGGCCAGTGATTGTAAGTCCAAGATTTCATGCTGCAATGCAGTGGTGTATTTAAAAATTTGCACAGGTGTCACTTTGTTGTTGGCAATAACATTTCTTCTAGGAGTAAGCATAGTAAACCTTCTAAAYTGACAAAACCAGAATTTGGCATTTTAAGTTCTAGAATTAGGCCTTGTACGTGCAAAGAATTTTTCATTTAAGGATTTGGTGTGGTRGATTTTTTTTGTTTGGCTTAGTGGAGGATAGTTGTGGTGATTTTGTTTTGTTTWACTTTCTTATAATCATATAATCCTGATGAGTTAGAAGATACTACTCCTTAATTATGCACAGAACAGAGAAATGTAAAGAGATTTGGAGTTTTTGGCTTTCTAAGTAAGCAGTATATGGCTTTGTTTAGAGTCTGTATCTCATGATTACCACTTTTCTAGGCTTTAAAATTAGACTGTTTAATCTCAGCAAGRTAATTTTTCTGCAGCATTCTCTGAGAAATGGAAAATCAGTCTGCCTGTCCAATACGCAAAAACATTTTGCACATCTGCATCAAGTGTCTGCTCCTTCATGCACAGTGTGTGGGATATTTAGAATGTGTCTCTATGTAAAACAGATACTTGTCATTAGTTCATTTGGGGAAAAGACTATTAACTTTCATAAAGAACACACATGACAATTTTTCCTCAAAACCTAGGAACTGCAACATCTGAATCATTTGTTCTTACAAAGAACCCAAAGGATACACGTTTTAACTACAACAATTCTGTCTAAAACCAGAATGTCTTTAACAAATGATTCTGAGACTGAGACATCCTTTGTGTACAATCCCTTGAACACGGTAGTTTACAAATCAAAACTGTCATTTAACATCTGAAAAAGGAATCCTCTGTAACTATGAAGCCTACTGGGGAAACCTTCTCCAAAGCAAGTGCACTTAAAAGTAGTGTTTGTGTTTGTGGTAAATGATCAACAGCTTGGAACCCATTTCTCTCTGCAGTGTGTGAAATTGTATAAATCCCCAAACGTCAAAGAGCACAGGAGTTTGTAGGGATATGCAAGTTTCATGTTTAAGTATTTGGCTCTCTTCATTTTGCATTGATATTTCACACTGGCAGCACTTCATGAAAATTTAAAGACTTAAACTTATCTGTAAAGCTAATGAGGCAAGTCATGTCAAGTAAGAATAAAATATATACAAAAGGCATAATCAATTCCCTAGGATATTAAAGTAACATATTGGTCTGTTTCTCCATTCTAAACAGATGGAATTTGCCACAGGGAGCAAAGAAGAACTAGGTCACAGACATAGGCTATCTGTAGGCAGTGGTATCTGAATATTCTGGCCCTGCAAGCTGCCCAGAATGAAAAAGAACAGCTTGATGCCAACCTAGAAAAAGGCAGGGAATATTTCCAAATTTGGCTTATCTGACTTTGTTACTTAGTCATGTGGTATTCAGAGGGGAAGTTTCACCTTCAGTGGTAGCACCACTAAGTAGTTGCCCTCAGTTAACAAAAAATAAAACAGAAGCCACCAAACAAAACAAACAAACAAACAAAAAAAAAAGAAACAAAAAAACCAAAACACTTTGTGTCCTTGTATTATAATTTGATGGTTTGAAAAAACACATATCTGAGCATCTCTTTTCTTGTTGGCTCTGCTTATACTTCAGGCAATTTAATTTCATATAAATCAATGGTATTTTCCCAAAGCCTTGCCACCAGACACTGATAAAAGAGTAATCAGTAGCACACTCCATCTTTGTAGAAGCCATTTGCTGAAACATTTCCAGTGGTGCATGCATTTGCTTTAAGAAAAATATTGTCTCTTTCCAAACTGAATGTGTGGGGCCTAACCCTGCTGCATGTGGAACTCCTTCACAGGTATTTAACACCAGCCTAAAAATACAGTGATACTAGTACTGTGACATGAACAACATTAACCTAAGGGACAGGGTTCAACTTGAAAAAACATTAAGAAACCATGTTAAAATCGACAGTCCCAAACTTGAGCCCTTTAGATGTTAGACTGATCCTTGCTGGGTAGTTCCATCTTRTAAAATTCATTAGCATGAACTTTACATTTGAATTAATTGTTGTTAACTTTTTATAAGATTTGGTATATGAAATTGCTAATACTAGAGAAAATACTTAATCCATTCATTGATTTGTCATTAACTCAGAAACACAAGAGGAACATTTCCTATTGAGATTTGTGTATAATTTGGATGATTAGAGAAAAATCACCATGGAACTAGCTAGATAATATCAGAAAACCCCTGAGGTTCTTTTTATAGGAAAGACAAGGTATGTAAATAAGCACCACCTTTAAATAGATAGCATACTACATAAAAGAATAGGTATTCCTCCATTCTTCTATCTCTTTTCCCCTTTCCCTACCAAGGTGTGAAAAATCAATCATTTGCTCTACTAATGTATTCTGTGAGCTGATACAAGTCATTTGCTCCTGAAGGCTCATCTGTGCATGTAAAACATTAAAGCTGTAGAAACACAAGCAGTTTCTCCCAGCAATGAGAAGAATGGGCTTTTCTTCAAGGAACTAGAGAGTATCTAAAATCTGCATGATGTAGAAAAACTTCTCCSATAAAATACTAGAACACAAACTCCTCAAAGGGAATATACTGGCAACAAACGCCCAGGACTCTGTTAAAAAGAGACAAGAGGCCAGCTAAATTAGCTAACGGTTTGGTACACAGAACTTTTAGCTAAAACAGACTTCATTATTGAAGTTGAAATTTGCACAAATAGTTTGAATTGTTTGAGCTTTTTCCCCTTGTGTAGTAAAAAATAATTTTGTCTTATAGAGAAATATTATAAAACTTTAAATCTTGGTGAGAAACTTGAAAACTTATTCCCTAATGCATTGCAAGATCATAGGACCAATAGAACAGTTTGTATTGGAACGGGTCTTTCAAGGTCACCTAGTCCAATCCCTCTGCCATGAGCAGGGATATCTTCAACTAGACCAGGTGGCTCAGAGGACCCAGCTATTTAATTAACAATTTTTGAAATATAAAAATGTATCACACAGTAACYAGCAGTAAACTTATGAATACTTTTGTATGCTTTTCATATTTATGATTTTTCTTGCAATGGCTGCATTTTTTGGCCTGGTCCTGGGGAAGTATCTGTAGAGAAAGTTTACCGTGTTCCCACAAAAACTGTGGGTTTTTTAAGAACTGCTTTTACGGGAATTATTTCTTACCTCTCATCTACTTGACAAACCTAGTTTATTTTTTTTCAGTTTTAGTAACAATAAGTATGAGATGTCTGGCTGAGAGTCTCTACATCTTCACGTATCGCTAATAGTATGGCAAAACCAGCATTTATGTAACTTAGTGGAAAATGCCAGGTGTGACAAATTGCGTGCTTAATTTTCTCTTTACTGGCTTGGCGAAACGTTTTACCTGCAGGACGTAATGGATCAGAAATTTCCGAT